GTTATTCCCCAAATGCCTGCAACAGCTTGGACTAAACCAGGCCAAAACCAGGACTCAGGAATGCTGTCTAGCAGGCACCCACTCACTTGAGCCATCACTGTTGCCTCCCAGAGTCTGCATTGGTGGGAAGCTGGAGTCAGGAGGCAGAGCTGGGAATCAAACCCAGGCGCTCCAATGTGGGACATGCGGAATGGGTGCTACCATTCTCATAAGCACGAGACCCCAAAGATTCAAGTGAAACTAAGACCTGGCTGTGTCAAAAACCATGCTTTTATGATTGGAAACTAGGAGCTGGCATTGTGGTTCAGTGGGTTGAGCCTCAGCCCACGATGCCAGCATCCCATATGGGTGCTGCTTTGAGTCCTGACAGCTCCAGTTCCCATTCAGCTCCTTAATGCACCTGGGGAAGCAGCAGAAGATGGTCAAGTTCTTTGGGACCCTGCCAGGCACGTGGGAGACCCAGACAAGATTTCCAGGCCCCTGGCTTCAGCCTGGCCTCGCCCATGCCATTGCGGCCTTTTAGGGAGTGAACCAGCAGATAGAAGACCTCTCTCTCTCTCTCTAATTCTGCCTTTCAAATAAATGGATAAACCTCTTTTTTAAAAAAAAGATTGGAAACTAAACATTTATAGGCCGATGACTGTGTTTTTTTTTTTTCATGAAGAGATGTGCATATAAAAGAACACACTAATTGCCTGAGCACACAAAGACTTTAAAAGTAAGTACCAGGGCAAGTGTTGTGGCACAGCGGGTTAAACCGCTGATGGCATCCTCTATGAGTGCTGTTTGAGTCCTAGCTGTGCCATTTATTTTTTTTCTTCTTCTTTTAAAAGATCTCTTTTTTAAAAAAAGATTTATTTATTTATTTGAAAGAGTTACAACTAGAGAAAAGGAGAGAGAGAGAGAGAGAGGTCTTCCATCTGCTGGTTCACTTCCCAATTGGCCACAACGGCCGGAGCTGTGCCAATCCAAAGCCGGGAGCCAAGAGCTTCTTCTGGGTCTCCCACATGGGTGCAGGGACCCAAGTACTTGAACCATCTTCTACTGCTTTCCCAGGCCACAGCAGAGAGCTGGTTCAGAAGTGGAGTAGCTGGGTCTTGAACCGTCACCCATATGGGATGCCAGCACTTCAGGTGGCAGCTTTACCCACTACACCACAGTGCCAGCCCCAAAATATCTCTTTTTTAAAAAAAAAGATTATTTATTCTAAAGGCAGAGTACAGAGAGAGAGAGAAGGAGAGACACAGAGAGGGAAATCTCCCATCCACTGGTTCACTTCCCAAATGGCCACAACGGCATGGGCTGGGCCAGGCCAAAGCCAGGAGACAGCAGATTCATCCAGGTCTCGCATGTGGGTTCAGGGGCCCAAGCACATGAATCATCTTCTTCCATGTTCCCTGGCACATTAGCAGCGAGCAGTTTCGGAAGTGGAGCAGCCAGGACTCGATCCAGTGCTCACATGGGATGCCACCTTTGCAGGCAGTGGCTTAACCCATTTGCACCACAGTGTCAGCCCCAGCTGCTCTGTTGCTGATTCAGCTTCCTACTAATGTGCCTTGGAAAGCAGCAGAGGCTCCCCTGCCACCCATATGGGAGATCTAGATGAAGTTCCTGCCTCCTGGGTACAGCTTGACCCAGCCATGTCCTTTACAGCCATTTGGGTGGTGAACTAGCAGATGGAAGATCAATCTCTCTTCCACCCTCTTCTCCTTCTCCATCTGTCACTCTTTCAAATAAATATTTTTTTTAAGAAGCAACACAACTTTTCAAAGGGCTAGGGGAGGAGCAGACATTTAGCCTAGCAGTTAACCCACATCAGATGACTGGGTTCAATTCCCACCTCTAGTATCTGACTCTAGCTTCTCACCAGGAGGTAACAGTGATGGTTCAAGTGATTAGATTCCTGCCACCCACTGAGCATTCCAAAGTATTCCATATACTCTGGACATATTCTGTTCGTGTTAGTCATACCACCTCCTATGCCTCATCTCCAGAAAGTCTTCACTACCAAGGCTAGCACCAGGTGCTGTGGTTCCATCTACTGGAGCTGTTACAGCAGGAGGTTCCTGTTTACAACTCCAAGGTGACGGACACTGACCTAGCCTTCCCCTTCTCCCGGGACATGCTGGTCCCCTCATGTCTCCCTTCCTCTTTGGATAGCCTTTCAGTGTTCTCTCCCCTGAGGCACATATCCTTGGCCACTACCAGTAGCTACTGCAGATTATCATGTTGCCTATGACTATGTCATCAGGGACACTGAGTTAACAGTGCTAGGAAGCTGTTAACAGCTTCAACCACTAGAAACCACAATGCAGTGGGGAGTGCCATGAAAATGCTAGACAGGATCCTGAAGATTTGAATCCTAAACAAGATGGCTGCTAGCTTGCTATGCATGACTTTGCAAGTCTCCCCTCTCTGAGCCCTGCTCCTATCTGGCAAGTGTGGGGCTGTACTACAGCCTCCACGGGCCCTATCAGTTCCGCAATGGCACTGCAGTCTGCACTCACATTGTGGCTGCAGCCAGAAGATTAGGAGGCATGAAACAGCAGGCAGTGCTGTGGTCAATTCCCTATGTCACTGCCCAGCAGCCTCATTACCTTCTGTCTCCCTCCCCAGGCAGTCTAGTTAGTTTTCCAAGTGGGCCCTAGCCACTCATCTAATTCCAGCTCGTGCAACAGTTGTTCAAATCGTAGTTAGGTTCCCACCTGTGATAGGCCAGGCACTTTAGAGGCATCATTCTATGGGTGTTGGTTTCTCCCTAGAACACTGTGATTTATGAAGACTGGCATCAGCTCTAGGCCACACAACTGGAGAGAGTCAGAGCTGGAATTCAGACCCAAGCCTGGCCCTTCAACCTGATTCCCCACTCTGCTTGGGGAGTGGAAATAGTGTCCAGTGGCTGGTCGAGTAGGCCTGAGACACTGGAGCAGTGTCATTGGTGCTGGGGCTAAAACCACTGTTGAGCACTTGTATTGGGTGCCAGCTACCCTACTAAGCACTTAGATGATCATGGCATCTGTGTGTGGGTCTACAAGGCAGGAACTTCAAGTCTCATAGGTGAAGAACCAAGCTCAAAGAGGCTACAGTAACTTGCCCACCCTCTCTTACTAGCACAGCCAGGGCAGCCAGGATTTGAGCCCCAGGCAGTCTTGTTCCAGAACCCCCTCTGTTGAGCCAAAGTCATTATGTTCTTGAGATCCTGGTCTCTGTCCTTACGAGGGAGAAAATGTCTGCTGACAATTTGCTAACTAGAAATGCTCCTGCATTCCCCTGAGCCTTATGGCTGGCCCTCTTAAAACCATGTATTCAATAAACACAAGTGCTTCCTAAACACCGAGCTCTTATGTGGTATTTTCCTCACAGTGATGCACTCTTTCTATGACAACACAGTGTCACAAGGGGTGGGCTGGAGGTGTGCCAGGGAGTGATGTCAAGCAAGCTCTCTCAACTCTCATTCTCATCTGAAATACAGGGACAGCAGTGCCAGCATTGGCTGTGAAGATGAGAACTAGTGTGTGTGAGACGCAAAGGCAGGCATCAGGGTGCGAGTATGGAGCCAGAGGTGGGACGGGGACTTGGAGGCAGGTAGTGCAGCTTTCCCTCAGCACAGCTCTGGCCAGCAGCTCGGGTTTTGCAGGCCAAATGGGATAAAAGGGCCAAGGGGTAACGGGCATGATGTGGGAATAGAACGGTTGAAGGGCTAGAGCACAGGACCTAGGGAGATGAGGAGCGATGAGGAGGGATGCGAGGGTGGGAAGAGGCTGAGAAAGAATTCCAGCACTCAGCAGCTGGAGGTCACAGAAGTCTTGCTGTGGGAGGGAGGAGTCCGAGCTCTGGGAAGGGAAGACCTGTTTGTAAGCTGACAAGGCCCAGGGCTTGGCCAAAGTGTTGTGAGCAGAGATGGAGGGCCCAGGGAGCAGCTGGGCCAGGTGCTGAGGGCCTCCTCATCCCAGGCCTGAGCCCTCTTGGCACCTCTCCTTGCTGTGGTCTCAGGAACACAGAGGGAAGCTGCTCTCAACTCCCTAATTCACCTCTGTGGTCCCTGGGCCTCAGATAGCTAGATCCACTTTCTTCATTGGTTTAAGGCTTTTCAGGCTAATTCCTCCAGGGAAACACACAAGAGGATGATCCACAATCTGAAATACCCCCGCTCCCATTTCTTGCCAAGAAGCTGTGAATTAATTCTTAGCTGGCTAATGTTAGCTCCAAAGGGGTCCTGCGCTTTGCTCTCATTACCCTGTGCATGGGGCCCATCAAAGCCAACATCCCCTCCTCCCTCCCATGCCTTTAGCTGAAAGGCATCGGCGGAAGCCTTACAGAGCCTCCAGTGAAAGGAGAGTTTGCCAGTCTCCTATCACACTGGGCTCCCTGTGCCATCCAGAAATGACCACATGAGTGTGACTGAGGTGGGTGACCCCCGCTCATGAGCCTCAGAGGTTAAACATTGCTGCTGGTGTGGGGCCTTGAGCTAGAAGCAGTGGCAGCTGGGGAGCCACGATGCCAGGCCAGCCTCCTCCTCCACCCGTGCCACCCCAGCCCTCAGCCCTAATTGAAGGGCAAGGGCACAAATGGGTAGTCTCCCCACAAGTTCCCCCACAAGGAGGAACACGGGCCTGCTCAAGGCCACGCGATGGCAGTTGAAGGTATGGCCGTGTTCGGCGTGGATCCTGCACACTCCAGAGGGCGACTTCTCTTCCAAGGAGAGGAGATTCCCTCCCTGCTCTCCGGCAGCCCGGCCAGGAAAGTTCATGCTTTTTTTGTAAGGGGGCGTGAAAATCTGGGAGATGGAGGTGGGTTCAGAGTACTTTCAGGGTCTTGTTTTTTCCCACTGGATCACAGCAATGTTCCAGTTGTGTTCGGTTGATTAGCCCTATGCTGCATGCAATGGCACTGAGGCTAGAAGATCCTCGTGAACTATGGAGAAGTGGCATTGTGGTGTGTGGGTCAAAAGCCTCACCTTTAGCCATTGCCCTGGACGGGAATAAAGGACAGGAGGCGAGTTAGTCATATGCTGCTTTATTTGTCAGGATACACGGAAAACATTAGATGATAACAGCCAATGACAGAATGGCGCGATGAGGCATCAGCTTCTCTACACACTCCTACGAGAATGTGAATATGCATTGTCGTTACATGTTTATTTCTGATATTGTCTCATTACACTATGTAAGATAGAATGTGGAATACAGTAAGGAGGCGTTCCTGCATTCAGGGAAGTGGTAGGTGGAAATCCGGTTCCGCCTGTGAGGACGCTGGCCTCTCCACTCCCCCAGAGATCCAGCTAAGCTCTTGAGGAAAAGTCCTAGGAATCACAAAAGCAGGGACTTTGCAGTCCTCTTTAACACATGGACAAAGAGCAGACAACTACTATGTTACAAGGGAATCAAACGCATCACATCCATATTACATCCATGTTGACATCAGTTGTGGCGCCTGCTCAGCTACCCCGCCTGCGCCACCTTGGCGCTTACTTCTGTAGGGTGAATGTCAAAGCTGCAGGAGCGCGTGAAGGGGCTAAGATATTTTTCATGCAACTTTTCAAACCCATACTCTAGTTTGCTATCCATTAAAACGAAAAAAAAATTAGTTAAAAAAAATGAAAAGGGCAGCAGGGTTAGTATCATTAAGCTTCCAGAAGTATTCAGCGTCACGGCGCTGCTCTGAAACAGGCTCGTTTTCTCAGATCTGCCTGCACCTCCCAAATCACCTGCACATCCCAGGCTTTAAAGTAGGAACGCTCAGCAAACATTGCCCCCGCGGGCCAATCAAAGGTTAGTGTAGGGGGAAACGGTCAGTTGGGAATTACAGCTAAGTTCAATTGTTAAATGCTCTGGAAATTCATATTCGTCATCTGAAAGCACAAAAGAACAGAAAGGGAGGTAAGAGTTTTGCTGAGGAAGTGAAACCATGCATTTCCGCTAGTTCTCTTTCTGCTCCCGTCAGAGGGTGAGCAGTGAGTTGGAGCAGCTGCTGCAACTCTGCCATGTCAGGTCGCATGACTACCGGGGTGCCCGGCTGAGCCCGGACAGGCATCTCCGCAGGGGCTTTAGCGCGTATGCTTCTTGCTTACATCACTAAGCGGCTAAATGGTTATTAGCACTGTTCTGCTCTATGATAAACATGCAGAAGAGTCAATCTAGCTAACGTGTTTTCTAATGGCAGCTGGCGCGAAATGAACTTTGCTGCACCGTTTGCTTCTTGCTAAATCCTAGTGTGATCACGATGTGCCTTTATTGGAGAAACACTACTGTAAAATGGCAGAAAAGACAGAAGGAGCAACTTCAAACAGGTGGAAGGCCACTCTTTCCCTATTGATGGTGTAGGGCAGAGTGCAAGGACACAAAGAACATGATTCAACTTCCATTTTACAGCACAGGAGCCCCTGGCAAGTTACAGCTTTTTGGCACAGTCGGGGCAGTACACTTGCTCCTGGTGAAAGACAAAGCGCTTGTTGGCCAGATTCACGGAGCATTTTTTGCAGTGGAAGCAGTAGTCGTGCCAGGATTGTCCTTCATAGGCCACCACACTGGCGCCTTTACCAAACCCTGTGGAAAAACAAAAGAGAACAAGAGAGACAGCTGCATGAATCAAGGTGAGGAAGCCGCGACTGCGAGAGATAAAAGGACGACTTGCCCCCGTCGCAGAGCCGCAAGCACACAGAGCCAGTGTCTGCCCAGCTCCCAGCAACCGCCCCCCCAACTCCACCGCGCACTGTCCCCCATGCCGCTACACCGCCGCTGTCCCCCGCGCCGCCACTGTCCCCCATGCCGCCGCCGCAACCCTGCTACGGCTCCCCAGGACCTGAGAAGATGCCGGAGCTCAGCCAAAGGCTTCCCTGATTTAAAAAACCCACGTTCCCACGCCACCACTATCGCCCTAAGTCGCGCACGGACCTCCCAGCATAACCAGTTTCTTTGATTTAGGTCAGGGCCATGGCATCAAAGTGGCCACCAGGAGGCAAACTTGGGCTGTTTGTAGGGTGTGCACTTACCGGGCCTCGAGGAGCTGCTAAGCTTCGATTTTTTCTATAAAGAACCACCACCCACGAGGGACAAGTCCTCTCTCCACCCGGATGCCTGCCCCGGAGGTTGGCGCTGGGAAACAGGGTGAGAGGCAAGCGTTTCCCGTGGCACACTGGGGGCTTCCTAGCTTTAGAGACTGGGTGGCTCACTCTTGACACAGTCCTTTTCCCTGAGGATGGCAAAAGTCTTCTCAAATGTACATTTCAAGGCTCCCCGGGGGAGATGGGAACATTGGAGGCAGGGGAAAGGGCCCAGGGCACGTGGATCGCGGCCGCGAGATGAGGAATGAAGTGATTAGCTTTGTTTCTGATCGCAAAAACAAAAAAAATTAAAAAAAAAACCCTGCCAACAGGCACCCCTGAGCTAGCCCTTCAGCTACGGGGTGTTAGAATCCCAGGTTATGGCTCCCCAGCCTGGCCCTCCCCCTCCCCCCTCCTCCAACCCTTCCTCCTCCCCTTCTCTCCCCCCACTCCCTCTCCTCAAAAATCTCCTCCCCCTGAACCCACCCCTCTGAATCCTCCACTCCCAACCAGCAATCCTCCCCATCCCACCTCCAGTCTTTCCCCACCCCCACCCCCACCCCCACACAGTGCACTGCCTGCCTGTGGCCCGATGGGTCTCAGGCTTGTGAATTCGCGGCCTTGTTAGTTAGTCAGCAGTAGTTGGGAAGTGTTCTGTATTGCGAAGGCTAACTTGGCTTGATGGGAGATCCAAACTATTTGGGGGCCTTTGGGACCACAATGACAGGGGGAGAAGGGCATTCTGTGGGGCCTTTGTGGATGAAACCGACGACATAGGAAAATGAGAGATGGTTACCATGCGCAAAACCTAGCCTGGCAGACTTAGCAAGGACTCTTTAAGCCTACCAGTGATGGGGTTCTTGCATCCAGCACACTTCTTGGCCACAAAGTTCTTGTAGCAATCCACGCAGTAATACTGGTCCTCCACAGCGGTGAAACGCTGCCCAGCCAGCTTCTTAGAGCAGGTAACACACACAAAGCAATCGGCATGCCAGGGCTGATCCTGGTAAGTGATTCCTCCAGATGTGATGGCCTAGACCAGGGAGTGTAGCACCGGATTCAGATTCAACAACCTTTCTGTTGAATGCCTACTATGTGCCAGGCACTGTGCTGGGCGCTTTGGTAGACAGTATCTCATTTAATCGCCACAACAGCCATGGGAGGCGGGGGCTATTATTATCCCCGAGTTACAGATGAAGACACTGAGGCCTGCAGGAGAGCCCCTTTGCGAGGTCACACAGCAACTGAGCAGTAGAGGCAAGCCTCTGGAGCCAGGTTGTGTGGCTCAGAGTTCTGTGCAAACCGCCCGCGCCAGCTCAGTGAGGGTGCACCCTCACAGCCCGACTGGGCCATGACACTTTGTAATCCCTACAGTCTCCTCATCTGTGAAACGAGACTAATAATAATTCCTACGTCACAGGGCTGTCGTGAGGATGGAATGGGATAGTGTGTGTGCAAGTGCTCTGCAAACTGTCAGACACTTCTCGAAACAAGTCAGCAAAGAACTCCCTGGAAAACGTACCTTGTTGCACTTCACGCAATGCTTCGCAAACTTGGTCTCGTGGCAAGTCACGCAGTAGAAGTCCTCCCCTTTAGGGAAGAAGCTTCCAGTCCCGATGACTTGCTTGCAGTTGCTGCAGGTGAAGCAGTCCTTGTGCCAGATGGTCCCCTTGTACTCCACGTTTTGATCTCCTGCAGGGGGAAACAACCAGATAGCCCCACTGACAGGCTCTGCAGGGGGCTGCATCCACTCAGCTCCCCCTCCCCCAGCCCTCCAGAGGTGAGGGGATGCAGGCCCTGCAATCAGTGGCCTCCTGCCCCCCAAGTCACCTACCCAGGTGCTACTTGCGCTACTGCCAACCCAGGATTCTGTCGTGGGCGGGGCCCCCCACAGTGTTTTAGGACAAGATGGCTGACTCCCAGTTCCCCCACCTCTACAACCCTGTGTGGATGCAGAGACTCCACGGGGAGCTGCCTGACCCACAATCACGTCCTGACCAAGCCGCATGCTCTGATCCCTTTCTACACCCAAATGAGAAAGCGCTACCTACTTTTCACTTCCTTCTCTTGCCACAGGCTGTTCTCGCCAGTGTTCTTAGTCTCCGAGTGTGTGCGTGTGTGCGAGCATATATGTGTACGCATACATATGGGCATGTATATGTGTACATATATATGCTAGAACCTCAAAGCAGCTCACAGCAAACGTTAGCCCCACTGTGACAAGCCATCCTGCATCACGTCTGCCCGCAGGGCCTCCTCCCTGGCAGCCCGGAGTGGAACGGGAACAGTACCTGCCACGATGGCCTTGAAACAGCCCTTGCACTTGGGGGAGTCCTCACGAGTGGCGCACTTGTTGCAGTAAATCTTGTTGTCCTTGGCCACAAAGGTCTCACTAGCCAAGGAGCGAAGGCACTTGGCACAGCGGAAGCAGGTGTCGTGCCAGTATCGGTTCTTATAGTGCACCTCCTGGAAACCAAGAGGAACAGGCAGACCACTGAGAGCATGGCCAGGGTCCCTGGCAGTGGCTGAATGCCTCGGGGCTGACTCCTGAGATCACACAGTCCTTTATAACTGGGAGTAGCCGGAGGTGGCTGCTCTACGTTCTAGTCCCAGCACCCCGCACCCCCACCCCGCAGAACAGCACACAAAGGCTTGAGCAATGGAAAGGGGCTGCCACAAGGCCTCAAGATGGCTGCAGTGACAAGAACTAATGACAGGCAGCTGCTGTCCTACTTGCACGGAAAGCCCAGCCTGTCCTGACTGCATGTGAGGACAACCGTTACCTTGGAGTCCGCACCAATGGGCTTGCGGCATTCTGCACAGGTGTTGGCACAGAACTTGTCAAAGCACTTCAGGCAGCAGTGGTGGCCATCCTTCTGCACGTACTTCTTCCCCTGCAAAGGGTCCCTGCAGTAGTGGCAGTCAAACTTCTCAGCCATGGTGCCTACCTTGTAGCTCGAGGGACCTGTGGGAGCAAGTGAGCAGAACAAATGACCTCCAGAAATGCTGGGGCACTCTGCCGCCTGGATTCCCAGAGGCAGCTGGGCAATGCTGTGTGTGAGGTCAACAAGTCCATGGGGTATGGGGACCAGGGCCCACTTCCCCCTGGAGCCCAGCTGGCCACCAGGTGCTAAGGCAACAGTCACTTCCTTATGACTCGTGAGAAGGAAAGTGCCTCCAAAGTCCAGTTCCCCAAGGCCCAGAGGCCAATGGCTAGTGACTCCCTGGGGAGAGAGCAGAAATCCCTGCTTGGATCTACCACTGTGCTATTTCACAAGGCGGCACAGAGGGTTACAAAGAGATTAGCTCTTGGTGTTGGCTGGACCATGGAACCACCGGACACAGATTCTGGGAGGTGCAGTTGCCGTGAGCAGCGACATGAACGAGTGGAGTGTGATGGAGCAGGCCAGAAGGGAATAATTCAGTTTCCACAGAGGAAGGGCACTGGGCAGAGGTCAAAATGGCAGTGGGAAAGCGAGCCAGGCATGCCGTCCACACCAAGCAGCTCCCCAGCATACATACTCCAGTGCTGGCAGCCTGGAAGAGGAGGCAGACACTGTGATGGCTGCCCACCATGATCCCGTGTGTGTGTGTGTGTGTGTGTGTGTGTGTAATGTTGGGGGAGGATTGTTAACTTCTAATGGCTTCCCTTTTCTGCTATCTACAAAAGTCTAGTCATCCAAACAAAAACTTACAGCTGAGTGTACTGTGCCAGGCACACAGGCAATCCTAATTTGTAAAGATGTTTGAATTCACTTAAAATCTGGCAGAAAAGTCTTTAATTCCAGAATGGTCTCTAAAAAGTTCTGTCCAGGAGAGTTTATTGACTTTATAAACATGGCACTCTGGGCTGACACTGGCAAGTTCCACAATTGCGAGATAGCTGCCACCGTGATAGGTGCTTTTGTGACATACTAAAATCCAATCCGTCTTGGATCCACTAAGTGAGTATCCATCTATTTTATTCACTGAAGTGTTACCCTATGAGATATTTCCTGTTTTTCAAAAAAACTGCAATTTTAAGGTATCCATGGGGGAAAAATGACTTTTTAAAAAAGAGTTAAGCTGACTATTCCATGAATCCCTTCCAACAGCTTCCAACTCCCACTCCCCAGCCCGCCCGCCCCACACTGTGAAGCTAGACACTGGGTCTGCGCAGCCCGAAGTACTGCCTAGGCCGTCAAGTCACTTCCTACAGAATCCTGCCAGCACCAAGGTACCAAGCCTGAGTTTCTGTGAGCTCTTAACGTCTTTAGACATATGCTATTTTGTTCCTTTTCCGCTGAAAAAGAAATTTACACGGGTAAACACACACCAATTATTTAATTTGTACAGGACAAGAACTGAGACTAGTTCCTCCGACTATCCACAAACAGGGTTCCCGTGCCAGCAAACATCGAGAGTGTAATTTAGGGAGAAAGGGAAAAGAAAGGAGCAGTTGCCGGGTACTCACCGCAGCTCAGCGCCTTCCACCATCTGAACAGCCCCAAACTCCTGCTGTGGGTTCCATTCCCAGGTTTTTTTATACAAACACATGTTCAAGTTGTTTGGATCCTGTTGCCATAGGCAACCAAATAGCAGAGAGTGAGCTAAGGAAACCACACCCTGTGTCTCCAAACCCGCCTGGGCGAAGGCTGTTGAACTCTCACTCAGAGCCTGGTCAGTCTCGGCAGCCAGCCACCAAGCAAAGGAAGTCAGGCCACGGAACAAGGGCAGCACTGCTCCAAGCCCTGGCGCTTCTGCCCCATGCTGACACACGCACTGACCCCTTCATCCCCACGGAGCAGGCAAGGGCACCAAGTGAGTGGCACTCTTTGGCAAGGACCACTGCTGAGGACAGTTGGCTCAGAGCCGAGACTCAGCAAGAGCACGGGCTGGTTCATGCTTGTACTTTTCCCCTAAAAAGAACACAGGGATGTTCCCTTAGGCAACAAAAAGGGGACAAACGTGACCCCAGGGCCTCTCGCATTGAGCTACTTTTGGAAGACAGCCTTTCAATTGCCTTTAACTTCCACGTTTACAGACAAAAACACCCATCACGGTGGCAGCATGTGGAAAATCACTCTCCTTACTTCATTCCTGCTGGTCTTTCCTGTGTCACATAGAGTTCTTGGCTTCTCTGTGCCATAGTGAAGCCGTACTGTCAACAAAGATACGCTTTCTTGTTAAGAGCTGAGAAACCAATAATATCTAGTCAGAGTAAATGCCAGGAAATTATGAGTGGCTCCTAAATGCCATCTGGCAGGAAAACAGAATTGTAAGATTAGATAGTACTGGCTTCCTGCTTGGCTAGTAGCCATTGGTGGGTTTAGCCTTACAGAGACTCTATACTCTTGAACCATATTAGGAAGTCCCACACTCTCCCATACTGGTCTAACCTGCCAAATCTTTCTCACGTCAGAAACACACACTCTGAGAACTGCATGTTATAGTACCAATGCCAAGTCCTTCACTGCTTACCTTTATAGTTCTAGAGCATGAGTCGCTCACATCTAGATAATGGAATAATCCGTGGCTCACCAATGAACATGGAAGTAGCAAAGTGTGTTAAAGTGCTAGTCAATGAAGCTGCTCACCACTGTATCGTTCCTCCTTTAAGCACAAGGTCTTAAAATGAGCATAAGTAAAATTAAATCACTCAACAAACCCAAAGTTAATGCTAATAAGAATCCTGGGGCAGGTATTTAGCCTGGCATGTTGAGACACATATCAGAGTGCCTGGGTTTGAGTCTCAGCTCCGCTCCTGACTCCAGCATTGTGTCAATGCAGATCCTGAGTGGCTGTGGTGGTATTCAAGTGACTAGGTTCCTGCCATGCGCACTGGAGACTTAGATTGGGTCCCTGGCTCTAGGCCTCCACCTGGTCCAGCCACCCAGTCTTTGTAGGCATTTGGGGAGTGAATCAGTACATGAGAGACACTCCCCACCCCCACCTTTCAAATATATAAAAATTTAAAATAAAAAAATACTGTTTATGAAGAGACTTCAAAATGTTCATGGAAATAGCACTAAAATATGTTTATTTTGGTGCCAAATAGTTTTGGAATCCATGCACTTTTTTTCATAATACACATTTTCCATGAAGTTTGTGAAGATCCGTTATATGAACAGATTTCAAAAACGGTTTGCACCAAAACAAAGTCCTTTTTAAATTCCATTTTCCACTAACATCTTGAAGTACCCGCATAGATATGCAAACAGATGCCAAAGGCCATATTCTGTTAGAATTGATTTTGACAGTTGACATAAGTCATTTTTATGTGTGTGGAAACACTCATTAATCAAGATAAAATAGGCATTTCTAGGAATGTTGGCCTTGTTGCCTAACAAGTCAAAAGGCGAGAAATTCTCAAAGTGTGTTAACGATGCATATGTCAAATTCATGAACTTTAGTACTTTTTTGCAATAAATCGAATTAAGTGGAACTTTGGGCAACCCAAATTAGCTCAACTCGTGTTCTTCTAACCTTGTGATTATTTGGTACAGAAATATTTCAAATCTTTATATCACCTGTTAAGGAAGAAGTTGTAGTGATATATCCTTACTGAGATAGTTATCATACCAAAACTTGACAGAAAACATGGATGATGTGTGCAAGATAAAATTATTTTGCTATTACTTATCTTCAAAGAAACTAATGACTCTAAGAAGTCAGCTTATATACGGCAATGGTGAGAGAGAGGTTCCTAAAAGAATGCAAATATCCCAAGTGTTGGGCTCCACCAGACTGAGTCACAGTTCACCTTGGACTTCAGAAGGAGAGAAAAGCTTGCACTTACTCTTTTCCTTTGTTAGAAATGAGCTGACAATAGAGAAAACTGAAGATGGCATTTTATCTCTTCTTTGGAGGTCTCTTTAATCTTACTGAATTACATGTGTTTACATGTTTATCTCAAGGGATAATTTTTTTTATCCCTTGTAGTTTCTGAGTACATGAAATTTGAAACCTTTTAACCTTCCAAAAATTCCAGATATTTCTGTCTTGACCTATTGTTATCTGGGCAAGAGTGTGTTGCTTATAATCAAATGAAACATTTGCTAAATATAATTACAATGACATGTTTGTCATAAGCTTTCTGGCTAATTTTACCATCTCAGTATGGCCCTTATATGTACACAGTTTCTCTGTCAGAGAGAATTCTGTCAATACACTTAGAATCTCTTGGTAAAGAATCCACAGTCTTGTGTACAGGAGTCACACAGTACAAGCACCTGCTGCTTGGCAGATGGAGATAAGTCTCCACCACTAAGCTCCCACACCTTCAGGATGTGGATAATCACAATGTATTCTGAGGCTTGATTTTGTCCATGTGAAGCTTGTTTTGGGGCAACCCTGATTTTCTTTCTGTGAGGACTTCTCTCTTTCATGGACCTATTCTTTTCTGCCTTCATGGAGCTAACACAGTACAAATGCTATTTCCTGATTTTTATTTATTATTTTAGCTTATATTAAATTTATGAGAGAGAGAGAGAGAGGTTCCATTTTTCCATCTGCTGGTTCATTTACCAAATGGCCACAACAGCCAGGCCTTCTGAAGCCTGAAGAAATAGAGCACCCAGCAGTGAAAACAGCACCCATATGGGACATCAGCATTGCAGGCAGTGGCTTAACCTACTGTGCCACAACCCCAGCCCCTATTTCTTGATTTTTAAAATTGTCCCCCATGACCCTAAGATGCTGAAGTCTAATTTACACCTTAGGGTCACATAAGCTGTCCCTTGGTTTTAAAAGAAAACTTCATGATAAAATAAATTTAATTTAAGAAGTTTTAGAAGCTTAGTTAGAATGCAGTTAGAAGTGTGGCTGAGTGATCACATTTTAGAGATTATTAATAGATAGTAGGCCTGACTTTCTATGTCTGCTTCAAAAGACACATCATTCTTCACTTAATAAACAAGCTTCCTCTTTCAGGAAAATTCCTGAACTACATCCAACAGGCTAAGAGGTACCTAAACAAACCTCAAT